AGAAAGGAAGAAATGGGCAAGAACTCAGTATGCGATAATTGTGTAAAAGAGAGATCTGGAGGAAATTTTAAATGAGGAAAGAGTACAGAAGGATTAGAGAGAGGTCTAAGGTCTGGAAGAATCTCAGGATCCTGAAGTGGGCCATTCTACAAAACTGCCATGGCGGGGAGGGTCAATCCATATTGTGAAAATCATGTAACAGTACCTAACACCAAGTCGGTACTCAATAAAAGATAGCTACAAATAATGGTGCCAAAATGGTTCACTCAAGACTTCTTTTCCTACATCCTATTTTATCTTCCTTTTATCCTCATGAACTATTGGAGTGGATACCACAAAGGAAGACAAATACTAAACATAATTTTCATATAGACAGGGAGTAATACTGATCAGTTACCAAAAATCCTTTATGCTTACTAGTAACAATAGACCTTTATGACAATGGATCATTGCTAGACTATATCAATACCAATTATTACTTTTTCCAAAGGAGTTAGTCTTCATAGAGATATAGGCACCTCAGAAGTTAGGGAACGGTGACTGGTTACAGATGGGGTTTCCTAAGAAAAAGTGGATAAGAAAAAGTGGTTCTCAGAAGGTTTGGGAAAGGCGTTTGGCTGGGGGCTGCCACCAGCCAAAAAGCCTCACCTATGTGGCAGGCAAAGACGGTTACAAAAGGAAAGACAAGCAACTATTGTAAGATTGAAAAGGCTATAATTTTTTAAATTATATAATTATATTAATCTGTATTTTAAATGGAATAAGCTACCACATGAAAGACATTCACTGGGAAACTCCACCCAATGTCCTACCGTCGTATTTCCTGCCTCTCCTCTAGTCAACACTCAGACCCCTACTCATTGAAAGAGTAGCAAGAATGTCAAAGGAAACACAGTATTTGACAATAAGAAGTGAGATAAGAGAATAAAGTCCTAATGAGAAGAAAAAGAGAGTAACCACCAATGGGCTACTTTCCTCAGGAACTGGGTCCACACTGAATATTTTCTGCCTTCTTCTCCACACCCTCTCTGTGCCCCCCCACACACCCCATGCCCACGTGGTCTGCTCATGGGTTTGTTTTTGACAGGATCTAGTCCAGGCCCGGTTAGGAAAAGAGAAACCACATTAAGTATTAAATATATCAAGAGAGATCACATCAAAAATTGGGCGACAGTTGTTGGTTGGAGAACTAAAAAAGCAAAAAGAGAACAGCACATGAGATCACAGAGATGGCACTGCAGGAAACACTGCCCCCCAAGGCTGAAGGAACCAAGGGACAAGGCGAGTCGTCAGAGCCCAGAAGCTTAAAGCAGAGGCCTTGCAGCCCTGGGGCTCAGGCGTCTGAGGCGTGGCACTGCCTGGCTGCTGCTGTGGCCTCGGAGGGACGGATGAGGAAAGCTCTGAAAGTGAGCCTGGAACCAAGAGCCACCACGTTGTTGGGGGCAAGGGCCACTGCTGAGTGGGCTTGCAGAAACAGGTGGTCAACAGGAAGGCACGATCCCTCGCCGTCCTCCAGCTCTGCAGCCTCCCTGCCCACCCTCTGTTGGCACCGCCTAACAGGCTGGCAAAGAAGAAACGTGGTTTGCGGAGTCCCAGTGTCAGAAAGCAGAGAATGAAAGGGGGTGTGTGGCGCTGAGACAGTCGGTTGGCACCACATACACTAAAAACATGGAAAGAGAAATCCATCTCACATTAGGTCTGTATCTCTCATCTCAACTCACCGTATGCTAATTTGTCTCAAAAGACTGCAAATGGGGACAAAAGAAGGGGCCAACTAATGCAAAGACAGTCTGAGTTCAATCAGAGCAATGCTTACCAGGACATCTGCTTACACCTTGAAGAAGCTTGCTAAGAGATTACTGTCAGTGTCCTAATTGTTTTACCTATGAAAAATGGGCTCCTTGGAAGCCATGTGCGGGCTTGCTTAAAACAATAAGCTTTTCTAACCGCCCGAGCACAACATACTCAGGGAGCATGGTCTGGATGCTTATCAAACAAGTTCCTGGGCTGTTCTCTGAAGTTTCTGGGCAAGTACAAACAACAGAGTCAAATAAATGCCTTTAAAAGCAAGGCAGTGGAGCACGTACCCTGTCAGTGAGAGCCTCATATTCCCACAGAGTAAACAGTAACATGAGAATATTTATACGAAACAAAACTGTATATCAAGCCTGCTTTGGCTCAGCCAGAGGGAATGATAAATTCCTTGCAGATCTCTCAGAGAGTGGTCCTTTGTTGACCACGGACGCCACTTCCAAGACAGTACAAACCAATTACAGAGCAAGGCTTTTCATTATGTCAAGGAATGAAAATATTACCCCCCATTTTGTTTTATTTCACAGTTATATTTTACTTATCCCACCCCCTTATGTTTAAATAGTTTTAATTTATTGTGAGTCAAGCCCAAATTGAGGTTGGAAACGAATGACAACTCCCCACCGCTCCCCCCCCCAACAAAACCTTATCACCCTCATACCCTAGCTTATTGCTTTCCTTATCCCTCTTTTAAGAAACTAAAAGTTTAAGTTTAAAGTTGGGTAGAATGAAAACACAAAAGAGACGATTAAAAAGTAAATTCTGTTTGTCCACATTGATTCTGGCCTATTGACAACTGGCATAAGTCATGGGCAATGTCAACTGGCAGGAGATGGAGGTTAAATGAACTATGAAGCCACATTCCATACAATGTCCACTTTGTGGTAAGATTTAAAAAAAAATACTGAACAAACATTTGCACAAACTGTGAGTCTGCTCCTGAGGGGCCAATGTGAGAAAAGGTCAGTATGAGTCAGGGTGTTTGTTAGTTCATTTTGTCAGATTTTTCTAAGCCCAATGGGATAATCGTTCTTAGTTATTATGGATCCACCCTGGCCACTTCTGCCATCTCATGCCTAGAAAGAGCTGCTGGTACCGCATCCATCCACCAGAAACCCTCAGCAATTTACAGCTGGTTCTGATTTTCTACAGAATCACCACGGAGCAAGGAAGAAGGGGAAGAGAGAAAGACAATAGAAAGAAAAGGGGAATTAGAATATGTGTGAGACATATTTGTAACCCTAACAATACTTGTACCTCCATAATATGATGAAATAAAAAAGAATATGCGTGAGAGGTAAGAAGTGTGATTGTGCTGGTTTTGAAAATTATTTATTTATAATAAAACTATTAAATTATTGTTTTTAATAGATAGCTGGATCAAAGGCTAAATTTAATCAACTCCATTTTTAAACCACTCACTAAAGCATATGTAGCACCAGAATCCACCATAATAGAATTAAAAAGGATAAAACAGGTCTTACATATTTGTGTACATTAAAGGAGATTAGAAATTTGCCAACATTTTATTTAGAACATACAGACTTAGTAAAATTATCTCATTCAGATGTTTGTATTTACTTAACTTTTGTGGAACAAATATATACTTTTTGTTCTTTTTTAATTGTGGTAACATATACATAACATAAAAGTTGCCATTTTAAGCATTTTTGAATGTGTAATTCAGTGGCATTAAGTACATTCACATTGTTGTGCAATCATCACCACCATCATCTCCAGGACTTTTTCATTTTCCAAACTGAAATATCGTACCCATTAAGTAGGTGTTTGGCTTTCAATCAGCCTTGCTCAAGGCCAGCAGTCTGGAATGCAGTGACAGGAACCTGGAGAGGCAGATTCAGGTAGCTGGCAAATGAATCAACCCCTCCTGCAGCCCAGAATAAATCAGCAGCATCATGTGCTTTTACCCACTCTCATCTGTTTAACACTGATGCGCACAACTGAAGTAAAGCTCTAGAAAAGATCTGAAAAGAATATTAACACGTTTCATTTTTATATTACAGCTTGTAGACATTTATTTTCCCCCAAGTACAGCCCTCAGTCAACATAGGAATTATTTCCCCTGTATCATAGATAATGGAACTATTGCAAAAGCAAGGACCAGAACCCAAGCTCTTCAGCCCATCATCCAGGGCTCTTTCTACCGGGCCACGTGCCTCTGCCAAAACAAGGAAAGAACTGGGCACCACTGCTTCTCAGCTCTCAGAGACTGAGAAACTGGCTCATTGGGTCTAACTGGACAGCATTTTCTCTCTCCACCAGAGCAACTGAAATTCTTTCTGTCTGAAAACCATACCTAGTCCATCATTTTTTCCATCTTTGTTGTAATTAACAGAGAAAAGAAAACACCCACAGAATTGCAATTCTGGAATAAAATAAATGCAATCAGATTTGAGAGTCAAATATAAATTAAAAAATATTACGATAGATCACTGGATCCTATAAAAAGATTGAGTTCAACCTCTTTCACTTTTAATTCCTCAAAATAAATTCACATTATGTGCTCTTATTAGAGAAGATCATAATCTTTCTTGCTAAGCACCATTTATGGAAAAATTCATTTCTCTGTGTTTTATGGCTAGAAAGCATCTTGTAGTAAAGCAATATAAATACTAAGAATTTACGTAAAATTTCCAGAATCAACAAATAGATTCTTTTAGTTCACAAAGAAGCTACACATTTTGATTTCTTTCAAATAAAATTTCTCCCACTGATACCTTTCTCTTTGCTCAAAAGCAATATGCTTCCTAAACCTTTAGACCTTCCATTTAAATTCCAAAAAGAATAAACACTTCCTTGCAGTCATGCCCACCACCCCCATGCCACCTCCCTGCATAAACACTAAAGAGTTAGACAAACCTGGCTTATGGTGTTATCCCTTAATGAACAATAGGTCATCCTAAAAGTGGCAAGGAAAAAAGAACAATCATTCTTCAAAAGGGAGATTCTGATTTCATAATTTTCCCCACTTTTTAGTCACTTAGTACTTGATTTTTTTAAATGCATACTTTAAAAGAATGTTTACTCAAAAAATGAGAGTTGAATATGGAACTTAAGTCCATTTTAGGTTTTTTTTTTCCACAATAATTTAGCCACCATACCCATTTTACCCAGCTGATTCAGGGGAGCTTTCTAATGCTCACAAGTTACCAGCATCTGATACTGAGTAGGTTCTTTCAAAGTTTTAATGATGACTAGAAATACCACAGGGCGATTATGGATAATCTATGAACATTTGTTGTTGTTGCTAAACAAAAAATGCTTCCAATTTTCCAATACATAGCTACTACCAAGCTCTTTGTAGTTTTCCCATATCTTCAGTGGCCGAAAGAAACTTGTAATGACTAATAATTTTCCATAAAATTTCAAGGAAGCCTTAGATTGGATCACATGAAAACACCTCCCCGAATCTTCCAGAATTCCCCAATATTTTCCTTTATAGCATATTCAGCACAGTCCTTGCACTCTTGGGGTGTAAATCCAACTAATGCTCCCCCTATGGTACCAATTCCCCGATCACCCGCCAACTTTTTAACTTGAGCTTCTATGTAATGAGGAGACACATAAGAAAAATGGTTGCCAAGGACACTGTAAGTCATATATTGAGAGACTTGTGAGATTTCCGTAGCTTCTTGGTCTTCAAAACTCTCCACGTTGCAAGCTATCTCAATTTTCCCTTCGTGGGGAAAAGCCATCGTTTGGACACCCTTCAATCCGTTTGCACCGGAGCCCCGAATGACACTAGCGATCTCTCTTCCTGCAGACAGGTCTTGAGAATCTATGGTGACATTGCAGTTCATCACATAAGGGCTAGCACCGACACCTAAATCGTTAGAAGAGCATGTTAAGCAAGCATAGTAACAGCCTCATTTACAAGATTCTATCTTTAGCCAATTTTAATCAGAGGAGTTTCCTTTACCTGGTTTCATTTTAAAATAATACAAATATTCCTCATTGTCAACTCCAGAATTTTCTAAAGGTCATTTTTTTTTAAGCAACAGAGATATGTGAGCTATAATCAGATAATTTTACCTACTCAAAAAGTATCTGAAGGATTTTTTTTCTAGAGGGGCCCAGAAGAGCCCAGACTTTCCAAAATACCAAGAGAGAAATGAAACAAACACACTTAATAATTAAATGCCATCAGCAACAACAAGCCTTGGATTTGCATTCATTTCTAAGGCCATCTCTACAAGGGTTGGACTTCAGTGCCAGGCCTAAGGGTCTTGGAGACAGGAGTAAATCAAACCTCTGTACCTGCCCTTTCCCCCTTGAACAAATACCTGTCATTATTGAATTAGGTTAATATCAGATTAAACTGAACCTCAAAACCAGCCTTGCTTAGGGAAGAAGGTCACTAAAAAGTAGCAAACAGCCTTAGAATTGGGAAGAGCAAAGGGAGTCTTGTGTTTGACGATGATGTGAATTTGGCAGGATTTGGAGCCAAACAAGACACAAGGGTCCCCTCATATGGATGTACAAACCTCACACGCTTCTTTCGTGCAATCTGTTGAAGGCACACCTTTTTCTTCCATCCTCCGCTTCCCAAGACTGGGGCTGCCATGGCCACTCCAGAGCCCTGTTATTCTAGAGCTCAGGGAAAGATATCCCGCTTTTTCCTGCTTCAGGGATGGTGCAGCTCATGTTACATAAATAGCGCTGCTCTAATTATAGTTTACATTATAAGATGGACAACTTGGTTAAATTAGCATTGGTATAAAAAGCTTAGGCTTGCAGTTTCCTCATTTTGGGGGAACCGGCCCTTTCTAAAAGCAAAGTTACTAGGGATAGATGGGCTGAAAGGCTGACCTCATCTTCAGCATATGATCATTCCTCAGCTACTATTTCAACATTATTTTACTGTCATTGCCTTTTCTTGCTACTTTCAAGCTTATTGCTCATGATGTCAGTATCCATCAGTGATGTGCTTTCTGGGTTCACTTTTCCCTGGACCACGGCGGTTTTGGGGCAGGGGGGAGGCTTGTTGCCTAGCCTGGCTACTCTCATACTAATAGACATTTTACAGAAAATCAGCACACGGAAACCACATTTCATCTTTTTCCCACACATGTACATAATGAAATATTTCAACTCCCAAGGCTGGGCCTCTTCCTACTGGGAATTCTGCAGGAATGAATCAGATTACAGTATTTCCCCATAATGCTGATTTCATAAAAATTAAATTTCCTAACAGTCAATACATCTCTTTCTCATAATCTTATGTACCAATCACTTACTCTAAATATCTTTGAGAATTATATCAGTTTTAACATTTAACAGAGTACAGTGGAATTATTTTTGTCAATACTCATGTTGCCATTCATTAACCAAAAACATCCAAACATAATTTCTCTCTCATCTACCCCTCCACAGGTAATGTTACAAATAGTCCCATTTCCTAAAATCTGATATACATACCCTATTCTGGCTCAAGATGAGGCAACATCGTTACCATCATTCCAAGAAATAGTTGGATCACACTCAAGTTTTGCTGAAGAGTATACACACTATACTCTTCCCAGTCAACACAACTATTCAAAATCCATAAGGGCCTATAGTGCTTCACTATTGCGCTTTGCTATTCCAGACCTTGATATGCCCAATGAACAATCAGATATTCACAGGTAATTTATCAGCCTGGGGGAGCAAGTCACTTTCAAAGGAAGCCCCTTCATATGGACCCAGGGTCCTCCCTGTACACTCCCATGGCAGGAGTCATTCCATCCCTACAATCCCTATAACCACTGGACTTTTCCTAAATCCCCCACCCAGAAAATTTCAAGGTATCTCTAAATCACCATGTAGCCAATAATGCTCCCCTTTTTAGAATTTCTAAAGTTGATCATTGTTGCTATAAATGAATTCATTCCCAAAAATAAATTATTAAAGATAGAACAAGTTTAGATGTTAAGCCCTAAGCACAGAGTTCCATAAAGAATATAACGTGTATACTGTACAGCATCCCAATGCTGAAATGTCTTTAAAAATTACTTAAAAAGCATACTTTAAAGTCATATAAGGAACTTTTATATGTTCTGTTAAATAAAATAATAGGTGGCTGACTACAGTGACTCACTCACAATTGTAATCCTAGCAATTTGGGAGGCTAAATCCCAGCGCTTTGGGAGGCCAAAGCAGGATCATTTGAACCCAGGAGTTCGAGACCAGCCTGAGCAACAGAGCGAGACCCCTATATGTACCAAAAAAAAAAAAAAAAAAAATTAGCTGGACATTGTGTAATATACCTGTAGTCCCAGCTACTCAGGAATCTCAGGCAGTAGGATCGCTTGTGCCCAGGAGTTTGAGGTTGCTGTGAGCTAGGCTGATGCCACTGCACTTTAGCCTTGGCAACAGATCAAGACTCAGTCTCAAAAAAAAAAAAAAAAAAACAGAAAGAAAGAAGGAAGGAAGGAAAAAAGAAAGGAATGAAGGAAGGGAGGGAGGAAGCACTTAACACAGAATAATTGTTTTTAATATATGCCCTTGTGTATATTTCAAATTTTTCTATTAAACTTCAGTTACATAATAATTTTATTTTGTTCTATTGCTATATCTTACTCAAGCAGTGATTAAACGGAGACAGTTAACGAATCTGAGATGTTTCTGACCTAATCAGGGTAGTAGTTCCTTCTCTGAGTGGTTATGAGGCCATGACCCATTTCTCCCTTGGGGGGAAATAAAAGAAAAAAAGAAAGAAAGAAAAGAAAATTTCTCTTTCTGCCCAAATTTATGCTTTTCCAATTTCCTCTATTTAACCGTTCCAAGTCAAAGCCAATATGGTGATCCAATTATACTGAATCAAATTCTGTGTTTAATTCCAGCAGTCCCATTGACCTTATTTAAATGCTGAATTTAATTTTTTATGTTAATTTAAACTACTAAGAAGGTATTTTAAATGAGAGATAATTAATCCCAGCAAATCGTATTTCTAGTTAAATGTCATAAATTAAAGTAATTCCATTTTTTGCTCTAAAATTAGAAACCTGATGTGAAAGTTTGTTTCTCAGTTTGCGGTTTCGCTCCGCTCCCGCCTCCCGCAGATTGGCACTCGGCTGCTCTGGTGGCAGCACCAATCCCCTCTCTGCAAGGCTGAAATTCCAATTTTATTCCAACACAACTGTCACAACGCCCTGAAGCAAGCTAAAAACAAGGAAAAAAATCTTTGGTATGATTTCACTTTCCATGTGTTCTTTAATGAAAAATTTATCATTCTAAATATTGGTGTTTACTCCTCTAAAGACTTTTTTTAATCAAAAAGAAAAAGAAACTGAGATTTGGTTGCTATTATTTCACAGGGAAATATAACAGGCCTGATGTTTTCCTGACAATTCTGTTATTTTCTTGTGTGGAAACACTGTATTTATCATATACTGCATGGCTGGTGATTCAGATATTGTTGAGACCTTATGGTGAACTGATATAGATGTAAACTCTTTATGCCAGATTGTTTAAGCAGAAAAAAACCAAATGCACTTAATTAACATCTGATGTGTAGCTTTTGCAAACACAAATGCAATATTTGTGTTTGAGCACTGGCAGTAATGACTGTGAACTATGCTATTAATGTCTGGTTTAAAGATGCTTGTGGTAGGACCACGTCTGGAATAACACAAATAAAAAACTGCATTCAGACAAAACAATAGTGAAGAGCCCATTAGGAAAATGAAAAAGCAGCACTCAGAAGAAACACATGTATTGTTTCCCTTTAGATCAAAATTATTCTCAAAAATAGTTCCAGGAATCATTGTTTTCAATCAATCAAAGGTGAAAAACTTCTGTATATTTTACTTTCACTTTAGGAGATCAGAAGTTGCTTAGGGATATCTTCAGAAATTCTGTTTATTATAGGAGGTCTGTCCGGAAAGTATCCAGCCATGTAACTGTTCTTGTTACAGTAAGGATTTGGCCTGATACTTTCCAGACAGACCTGGTATTAAGCTCCTCTTTGGTGGCTGGTATTAAAACATGCATGAGGGGAGAGCTGGGGCGGTGTTTTGGGATATTTAGTATTTTTATATCTAAAGAGAAAACTTCAAATTTGTGGACTGCATTACAGTTTGAATAAATAGATTCTCCACAACCAATTCAACTCCCTCATTAAATACTTTTTTCACTGAAAACCTGAGTGCCAGGAACCATGCGCGTTTCTGGGTATGAAAACATGAAGGTTAAAATAAGAACCCCTGGTCCTGACCTGTGGGCCTGTCCTCTCACCTTCCTCCTGGGACAGCATGAGCTTCACCACTTGCTCCACCACCTTCTCCACGAACTACCAGTCCTTGCGCTCCGTCCAGGCACCCAGCCACAGCGTCTGGCCTGCCAGCAGTGCGGCCAGCGTCTATGCAGGCTCAGGCTCCTGGTTTTCTGTGTCCCACTTTACCAGCTCCCGTGATGGCTGGGGGTCCAGGGGCCTGGTTGTAGGGATGGCCAGGGGTCTGGTGGAAATGGGGGGTGGGGCATCCAGACCGAGAAGGAGACCATGCAAGAACACAAGCACCTGCCCTTCTACCTGGACAGAGTAAGGAGCCTGGAGACTGACAGTCAGAGACTGGAGAGCGAAACTGAGGAACATCTATCTAGAGAAGAAGGAATCTCAGGTCAGAGACTGGGGCGGGTGGGGAGATTACTTCAAGACAATTGAGTACCTAAGGGCTCAGATCTCTGCAAATTCTGTGGACAATGCCTGCATCGTTCTGCAGACTCACAATGCCCATCTTGCTGCTGATGACTCTAGAGTCAAGTATGAGACAGAGCTGGCCATGCACCAGTCTGTGGAGAGCGACATCTATGAGCTCCACAAAGTCACTGATGACAGCAATGCCA